GGGAAAGAGGCTGAAGAGGTGGGCAGGGGCTTATGAAGAGGCTTGCGTATACTGCTACGTTTATACTTTATCCTTAGGGCAGTGGGAAACCTTTGAAGTGGTTTAACCAGGGAAGTGATGGGTTAAAATCTGCACATTCCCGGGGTCTTTCTAGTTGGCTTTGTGGAGGAGAAGAAAGTCAGTTATGAAGCTACTGCAGTAATCCTGGGGCTAGATGAGGGTCTGAAAGAAGGGTGAAGAGAGGGGTGTGCATCATAAGTAGGTGTGAGGGAGCGTATGAGAGGGATGTTTATGAACCCAAAGGACTGGATGGAAAGACCCCTCCCCTTGGTGGTAGCATGCTTAACTTTACAGCAGGGACTTCTCAAGATGGGCGGGGTCTTGAGAGAATAGAGGACAGTGTCTCAGAAGGCCCTTGGCTTCTTTGCAGGTGGACTTGCAGAGGAGGTGGATGACAAAGTTCTTCATGCTGCTTTTATCCCTTTTGGAGACATCACAGATATCCAGATTCCTCTGGATTATGAAACAGGTAAGTCTTTTTAGTGTCTCGCCTGCTCAGAATCCTCCTGCAAGGAAAAGAGCTTAAAAAAATTGTTTTAAGTCATATCACAGTGCATTCTAAATATGCATTGGGCAGCATGACAGTGATCTTGGTGCAGAAGGACTGTTCTGAGGCTTGTGGTTGTGAGCTGTAACATGCTTTGCAGAGAGTCCCATCTGTTGCATTTGAGCAAAGACAAACTTTTCAGTTAGCCAGTAGGAAGATAGGTTTTGAGCTACATGGAGATCTGTTGTTTTGAACTACCTGCCAGGCACTCTACTGCACCTGCTCCCTTCTTGGTGGCTGTGCTATTAAACAGGGTAGCAGGAAAGCCCAGCTTCAACAGTGGGGCCTTAGCCTCTGTGTACCTGGGGGTAAGCTTTCCATCAATTAGTATCACATTTGTAGTTCAGTTTTCTATTTTAACCTTTGTTGTCATTTTTAAGATTGGAGTTTTAGGCCCAGCTCTGATAGGGATAGAGTACACAGCTAGTTTAGAAATCCCACTAGGGGATGATAGATAGAGAGGGAACTTTGGGAGACTCCTGTAAGTTAATGATCACTCAAGAAAGCAGGCTTGCTTAGCAACAAACCAAGCAGGCTTGCTTAACGCATGAAACCAAGCAGGCTTGCTTAACAACAAAACTATACATCAAGTCAGTGATGCCTGCATCCTGCTGGTTGAGGTCAGTAAGTTAATGATCCCTAGGACATGCTTCTCTACACACACTGAAAACAAAAACATAGGGGAAAGGTGACAGTATGCTGAAACCTGAGGTGATTTACCATATTTTAGTGTATATTACTGCCTTTTTGCTCATTTCCATAGCGCCATGACAGTCCAGGTTGGACCAGATAGGGTCAAAAACTCCCTTGTCCAACCTGTAGGAGGAGTTAATTATGGAAGACTCGAAGAATGAGGAAGAAGGTGGTCTTCTCCCCCTCCCCACTTTTCCTTTAATTATAAAACTGTACGTAGCCCACTGAGTTCTCTGTGGGGCACTCTCTTTCCTGCCCCCTTGTATCTCTCACAAGCGTCCTATACTAATAAATCACTTCTTGCCTGTCACTTTGCTTTTCACTGTATTCTTTCTGGGCTAAGACAAAAGAACGTGAGCTTCATTAAGTCCTAAGACGTGTTTTGAGTTTTTAGCCACCTATGCTCTACTGAGTCCCGAGTCGAGTTGTATGTTTCAGCTCTGTCATCAACCTTGCATATAGTTTTAACCTCCCTGGGATCTTTATATGTTATAAAAATGATAAGGTTATATTGACTCTCTAAGGTTAATTGGTTAATTAAACTAGTGCTGTTGTGCACTTGGCCTTTCTACTTAGATTAGCGTTTTGCTGAGGATAACGACAGCATCCTTACCCAGGTTTTAGGATTCATGCTTTATGCACAGTTGATGTTCAAAATGTATGCTTGGAATGAATAATTGATAGGTTAAATGACTTCATTTTTCTAGCTCCTGCACGCAAAGGTTAAGGTTTTAATTTGGCTTTGGTGAAAGAATTGAATGCTGCTTTTAGATATTAAAACTATAGTTGATTATTCAGCTATGTTCACTACAAAACAGTTTAATATTGCTTGAAATGTTATTTAAACTAGAAAGAATCAAAGAGTAAGATTCCTTCTTCCCAAATAGTGATTGTGTAGAATTTCGAATGAATGGATAAGTTGCATTTGAGCAAAGACAAACTTTTCAGTTAGAATGAATGGATAAGAATGAATGGATAACTGACTTCACTTTCCTTGTGACCACCTACTTCTTCCCATTGCTCCACATGATAATTGCTTGGCTTTGTTTGCCTTTTTTCAGAAAAGCACCGAGGATTTGCTTTTGTTGAATTTGAGTTGGCAGAGGTGAGAAAATTCTGTTACCTATGTTAAGTCTTTGGCTTGTGTTATTATTGTTACTGATTACAAAGGGAGCTGTTCTCCATTTGGTTGGGTTTTGGGGCTTGTGCTGTTGCTTCCAGAGAGATAAGAAGTGCTATTTGAAGGAAAGTTTCCCTCACTTAATCAAACTGTAGGCTGTGGTTAACATCACAGACAGGTCCTGTGCCTCTTGCTCTGCAGAGCTCTTGTGGCACTGGTGATTATTTCTTTGTCTTCCACTAAATAGCCAATAGCCAAAGTCACCCAGGAAGTGCACTTTGTTAGACACATACAAGCTGGGCAAGGAGTATAAATAGACCTTTTCCTGTTAGGTTGGTTTTTTTTTTTTTTTTTTTTTGGCTACTGAGTATGTTTAGACACCACAAGAAGCATTTGACTGCAAGCCTAAACTTTTTTTGTTAATAAATTATTATTATTTTCTATACAGCAGGTTCTTATTAGTCATCCATTTTATACACATCAGTGTATACATGTCCATCCCAGTCTCCCAATTCATCCCACCACCACCACCTCCACCCCACCCCCCACTTTCCCCCCTTGGTGTCCATACATTTGTTCTCTATATATGTGTTTCAGTGGTATCTGCTTTCTCTGTCACCTAGTGAGGTGGGTGCTGCTGGGGGACTATTCTTGGGTCTCCAGCAATCCTTCATGACCCCCACCACCCACCGCCGCTTTCCCCCCTTGGTGTCCATACATTTTTTCTCTACTTCTGTGTCTCAATTTCTGCCCTGCAAACCGGTTCATCTGTACCATTTTCTAGGTTCCACATATATTGCAAAGCCTAAACTTGTCCCTTGTCTTTCCTTGGCAGGATGCTGCAGCAGCTATCGACAACATGGTATGGCTAGGAATCCTCCTTCTTACAGAAGTTGCTTTTTGGTGGTACAGAGGGCACTTACTCATACATGAGTTTGCTGAACCTCCAAAGTTACAAGGTTGCATGGGGAAGTACAGATTATCATCATGTGAAAATTTTCACTGTGAATTGATCGCTTTTGATCAATTTGATAATAACGTAAATGCTAACCATCCTTGTTGACCAGTCTCTCACTGGCTGCCTGAGTCTAGGATAGGAAATTGCAAACACAGTGCAAATTGATTGCACAATGAAATTGCATATTTTACAAAAGAGGCAGGATTTCATGAAGTATTAGACCAGTTAACAATTGAGAAGAGAAATTTGACAAGGATAAAGATAGGTTATGCTGCCGATGCAAATGATTGGAATAGCCTGGAGAGCTCCTTGGGGAAAATGATGTAGCTCTTAAGTATGTATTCCCTCTTCAAGATGCTTATGATTTTCACATCAGATAAGAAATGCAAAAATATCATACTGATATTTTGATAGTATTTTGTTGGAAAAATACTACAGATTAATCAGCATGCATTACATCTTTGTCCTATAAATTAGCACATAAATCAAACCTGAATTTTAACTATAAGAAATTTATTTTCATTATTTTTAGTTTCATCACAGTAAATTCCCAATCAATCTTTTTTCCCTTCACTTTTTACCATGAAATTTTCTTCACTGCCTTAAGTGAATTCACATTAAGTGACCTTTCCTGGTACCAATTATCTTAGGATAATAAGGTTTTCCTTTATTCCTGTTCTCTGTTTCCCATTCACCAAACATATTCCTCAGCTCTCAGAGAGAGAGAGAGATCATTTCTCACCACTTAAAGCTGATCTTGACTTTTGAAGGTGAACTCGGGTACTTGGAAACTGCATTTATCCTTGTAATTTCAGAGTGCTCTGAACCCAGAGTCACCTTTGGAAGCACAGGTCGTTGGTGGTATTGAAAGAAAGGTCAGATACACGCTACTATATATAAAATAGATGTACAACAAGGACCTACTATATAACACAAGGGACCATATTCAATATCTTATAATAACCTACAATGGAAAAGAGTCTGAAAAAGAATATATATATATACATGTATATATATATGTGTGTGTGTGTATATATATATGTGTATATATACACACACACACACACATATATGTAAAGTATAACTGAATCACTTTGCTGTACTCCTGAAACATTGTAAATCAACTATGCTTCAACTTAAAAAAAAAAAAAGAAAGAAATGAAAGAAAGGAGGTATGTGATGGCTCCAGGGAGGAAATTCCCTGCAACCTACAGGCTGCTTTGCAGTAGGTGCATAGCTTTTGGGTGCTAGTGGCTCAGGGGTTAAGGGAGAATAAGTCCTGAGCTTGTCGGATTTTTCAGAAGGAAATGGAAAGCTGTCTGATTTTGTTTTAACCTAACAGTTTAAGCAGCTGGATTTTCAATCTTTTCAGAATGAATCTGAGCTCTTTGGACGGACAATTCGTGTCAATTTGGCAAAACCCATGAGGATTAAGGAAGGCTCTTCCAGACCAGGTGAGTGGGAGCAATACAGATTGCCCATCACATCCTCCAGTTTGGCCTTGGTTGCCTTTCTGTCCCGATTTTCTTGGAAGTGGGAGCTGAATGCTACTCTGGTGGACAGGAGTAGAGCATGGTTTACATTGGTGAAGGACATGCGCCACCTTTGTGGGGAAATACAAAGAGTTTGAGCTTCTCAGCCAAGGCAGGGTAATTGTTTGCTTTATGAGAGAAACCCAGCCTGATCTCTTACCTGTCCCCATTTTCTGAACACTCCTGGCAGGTTCTGTCAAGGGCTGGGACTGGCAAAGGCTGCACCTTTCCCTGGGGCATAGCTTTTTCACTTAGTCCTGCTAAGAGCCGGGCTTCAGGGCTGGCAGTCCCTGAAAGGTGGGAACTTTCCTTACCGTGGGAGTTCCCAAAGTGGAGTCCTGTGGCTGAGAGGGCCACAGAGTATGTTCTGCTTTGCTGACCAAAGCAGCTACTCAGCAGCTGGCCGATAGCTTGAATTTGTTCCCGTTTGCCTGCCTCTTTCCTTTCAGTTTGGTCCGATGACGACTGGTTGAAGAAGTTTTCTGGGAAGACTCTTGAGGAAAATAGAGAGGAAGAAGGGCCAGAGCCTCCCAAAGTGGAAACCCAGGAGGTGAGACTGAAGGCCGGCACTTCCCACAGGAGACTTCGTTTTTTAGGTTCATATGGAAATTTGCAAACATATATACAAAAGCAGAGAGAATGAAAAATGAGCTTTTAGTGTTTTGGTGGAGGTGCTAATGAGTGAACTGAAGGGAAGCTTTAGGCCTCTTGTCCTTGTGCTCTGCGTGAGGAGCTTCTCAGCTCTGCCCGGGTTCTGTTCTGTGATTGCCGCCGACTAGGAGGAAGCCTGAGGTGGGGAGGGGTGGTGAGCGCACCACTGCAGCCCTTCTCATCAGTGCCCCCCCCCCGCCCCCCCGTCACTGGAGCTTCCTGTCCTGATGCAGGGGAGGCAGGGCTGGGTGGGGGTACCTTCCCGGCAGCCTGGGCACAGGTTTGAGGTTCTCCCTTCCAGAGAACCCGCCTTGGCACTTCCTCCTGATTCTCGGCCTACCTCTCTAACCATTGCCTCTCAGGCTGTCTCTCCCCTTCTTCTAAACATTGTTCTGAATTTCTTGACTCACAGCAGCCCTCTCCCCCTCTGCCAGAACAGTGGCAGTCACTCTGATTTTGCACAGCCTCTCCTGTGCTGTTGACTTTCCTGGCCTCTGTTTCTAGTTCTGAGCTTCAGATGTTCCTGCTGCAAGTCTCGCCCTCCCTTCTCTAATCCCGTTCTTCCTGTGCTCTCAAACTCACCACCTTGCCACCATCCATCCACATTGACCTAAGCCAGAAATCCAGATGCAAAGCAGAGCACATAAATGGCCCTCAGTCAGTGGAGTGACCCTAGGTCACTCTAGACCCCTCTTTAAAATAGAGCCAGAACATCATATTATGCCAAGTTTTTCTCTTAAATCTTCCTTGAATCCATCCTCCCCTGATTACTCCGTCGTCCCAATGTAACTTCTCATCTCATTTGGATAATTGCAATAGCTTCCTAACTAGCCTTCTGGCTGCAGTCTTGCTCTCCTGCCGTCTTTTATAAAGGCAGCTAGAATGATCTTTTTAAAGCATACCATGGATCAATCTGACTCTCCTGCTGAGAACTTTTCAGTGGTTGCCCATCACCTGTTCCGTGAGATAAAGTCGTGGGGGGACTCTCCCAGCCTTGACCCCACCCACCTCTCACCTTGTAGTCCCCGCTTTACACTCTTGGTAAAACCAGTCTTTGTATTTCCCTGTATGTCTTTGCTTTTGTAAAGGCTATGCAAGTGCTTATTGCCTTTCCCTTTCTAGTCAGTAAATTCTGTGAGGATAGGGGCCTTGTATTAATAAAGGCCTTGTTAATAAAAATGTGGAATGTGAGGTGGGGTAATGTGACTAAGAGCATGGACATGGTTGGGGGGTGGGAGGGCTTAGGTGTGAATTCCAGCCTCACCACTTAGCACCTCTGTGACCTCTGTGACCTTGGGCAAGTTACTGAATTTCATTGTACCTCAGTTTCCCCATCTATGAAATGGGACTGATCTCATAGGTGGTTGTAAAGATTAAATGAGCTGATTACCTAAAACGTTCAGAATAGTACCCTGTACATGGCAAGTGCTATGTGAGTATTTGCTGTTACAACTATGCTACTGCTGTTGTTAACAGCAAATAATAGTCACAGTATCCTCAGTGCCCAGCGTGATACCTCAGTGAGTTTGTTAAACTGAAGCACAAACAAGAACACTTGAGTTTTCTCTTTGGAGCAAATGTGACAGCTGTAATAAATATCTCCTCTGCCCAGCCTTGGCTACTTGGAGTATAAAGCAAGGTCCCAACCACCTCCATTCTGAGCACTTAGGCCCTCCTTGCTTCCACTGCAGCCAGCCTGTGGATATGCAGGGCTAAGCATAGAGGAAGGGGGTGGTGTTGCAGAAGTGGGTCCGTTTAACTGACTAAGGTGGGTGGGCTTGAACTGGGGCTTGAAGTTGTTGAGCGTTGTGTGTTTTGGGCCAGAAAAGCGATGTTCTGTGACTGCAGGGGAGGGTGAAGGCGAAGCGAGCTGACGTGTCTGAGGGAGTGAGATGAGATAAAATGCCTGGGGGGTGCGGCTCCGGGTAGACAGTGCTGAGGTCTCCTGTCACTAGGTGTCCGGCTGGGGGCCGTGGCTGTGGCCTCCGCCTTCTGCAGCCCCATCAGGGCCCAAGGCCTTCCCTGTCGGTGCCTTGCTCAGCCCGCTCGCTGCAGTGGGTTCTGGGGTGTCTTCAGAAGAACACTTGCTCTCCTAGTTGGGCGTCAGTGTGTTCTCTCTAACCTGGCCATTTCTCCTGTGTCTAGGGAGAGCCCGCTGTAAAAAAGGCCCGGTCAAACCCTCAGGTGTACATGGACATCAAGATCGGGAACAAGCCAGCAGGCCGCATCCAGATGCTCCTGCGTTCAGACATCGTTCCCATGACAGCAGGTGAGCAGGACTCCGGTCAGGATGGCTAGGAAGCTGGGAGCTGAGCAGTGAGCCTTTCCAAGGTTCTCAGTGCCTTAGTTCTCGTGTCCTTGACGTTGTTTCTGACCTGAGTTGATTTGCGGCATCTCAGATCCTGGGATCTATTAACAGATGAGTCAGAGCAGGCATTTTTGAAGCTTTAGAGGTGCTGGTTTACTACTTTTTTTAAATATAAATTTTATTTATTTATTTTTGGCTGCATTGGGTCTTCATTGCTGCACGCGGGCTTTCTCTAGTTGCGGCGAGCGGGGGCTACTCTTCGTTGCGGTGCCTGGGCTTCTCATTGTGGTGGCTTCTCTTGTTGCGGAGCACGGGCTCTAGGCACGCGGGCTTCAGTAGTTGTGGTACGTGGGCTCGGTAGTTGTGGCCATGGGCTTAGTTGCTCCGCAGCATGTGGGATCTTCCCAGACCAGGGCTCGAAACCATGTCCCCTGCATTGGCAGGTGGATTCTTAACTACTGCGCCACCAGGGAAGTCCCTGGTTTACTACTTTTGAATAATAGTTTTTTATTTAATACAAGTAAATGTGTATTCATGGTTTAAAAAAAAAAGTATACACACCTAAGTATATTCCAACAATATTGAAGGCAATGAATTGAAAACCTAAGTCTTTCTTTCTTCTCCACATCTAGTCCTACGCTCCAGAAGTAACTACTCTTAACTAACAGTTTCTTGAGTATTTTTCATTTGCTAAATATTGACTTCTATTTATTCTTCTTTTAATCTAAATTTTATTATATAGACATATAGTTTAGAATGTTAATTCCACAAAGCTTGTTTTGAGAAACAGCAGTGCCCCCATGTTGTCCTCCCATCCTGCCCCATCCCCCGCTTTGCTGCTTCTCAGAGGCAGCCAATTTCCCCTCTTAGCTGATTCTTTTGGTTTTTACCTCCATGTTGGTAGATAACAGATTTATGTTGCTACTTTCTGGGTTTTTTTCATTTTAGACATCTGTTGGCTTCCCACTTCAGAAGATAAGGAATCAGCCTTTTAAATCACCTTCCCTGCTCCTTCATCCTCCTTACATTGTTACCATAATTTTGTTTAGGTCATAGGTTATTCTCGCTACGTAAGCATCATACTGTGATAACTTCCTTTCATACATAGCACTTTGTTTTCCCTGGAATTCATAATTGTCTTGTTTTCACATTTGCTTAGTCTTCTGTGCATATATTCCTGAGTCTCTCTGAAATTCTCCTGCTTCTATAAATCGCTCATCATGTTCAAATACATCAGATATTCTGTCAATTTCACTGTTCCTCCTTGGAGGCTTCTGACCCCCTCTGGCCTGGACCAGTTGCTTTCCAGGCACCACTGCATAGCTATTGTCAAGGGATCTCCTATTTTCGCTTATGTTGGAACCTCTGTTGTCTTTTTTGGTCTATTCTCTTGTTTCGGTAGAAGACATACTTCTGTAGCTTCTGGAGAAAAGAGCTTGGAGGGTAAGTTTTTTGAGACTGATGTGTGAAAATACCTACTTTCCCACTTGATGGTTTGGTTGTAAAATTGTAGAGAAGTCTAGTATTCTGATTCTTGGTCCTTTATACAAAACTTTTAAAAAATTTTCTGCCTAGAGCTCAGCTGTTCGGTATGGTAGCCACTAGCCACATGTGACTATTTAAGTTTAAATTAATTCAAGTTAAATAAAATTAAAATTCAATTCCTCAGTTACACTATCCAAATGCTTAATAGCTGTTAGATAACACTGGTCCAGAGGCTTGGAGTGTCTCTTTGTCCTGTGTTCTGAAACAGTGTGCCTTTGGAGTAGATCTCCTTCCATTCGTCGTGCTGGATATTCAGTGGGCCCTATTATGTTAGTTTTCTCTTCCTGCTGTAACAAATTATCACAGACTTAGCAGCTTACAAGAACATAAATTTATTATCTTGACTGTTGTGAAGGCCAGAAGTCCAACACAGGTCTCAGCAGGCTAAAATGAAGATGATGGCTGGGTTGCTGCATTCCTTACTGGAAGCTCTAGGGGTGGATCTGTTTCCAGAGACAGTGAGGTTGTTGGCAGAATTCACTTTCCTGTATCTGTAGACTGAGGTACCCATTTCTGTGTGGGCTGCCAGCTGAGGGCTGTTCCCAGCTTCTAGAGGCTTGTGGTCCCCTTCTTCTATCATTGCAGCCAACAGTGGTAGATCCAGTCCCTCTCATGTTTCGATTCTCTCCTGCCTCCTCTTCCATCCACTTCTAACTCTCTCTCTGACTACAGATAGGAAAGGTTGTGATTGTATTAGGCCCACCTGGATAATCTAGGCTACTCTCCCCATCTCAACGTCCATAATCTTAATCACATCTGCAAAGTACCTTTTACTGTGTACAGCATAACATAGTCTCAGGTTCCAGATATTGGGACATAGATATCTTTGGGGAGCCATTATTCCGCATACCACACCCATCAATCAGGACAGTCCTATCTTTTGGTTTGGGAAAATTTCCTTGGATTATTTCTTTGCATTTGTCCCTTCTGATTTCTCTCTTCTCTCATTCTGGAACCTTCCTAAATGTCCTTTTTCATAGCATCCTGTGCTTATTTCATGCATGTACTCCCATTTCATCTTGGGAGTTTACTAAAGCTTCTTTTTCCTGTACAGCTTATGTTTCAAGTTACTTTTTTCTGAGTTTTTAATTTTGTTTTGCTTTGTTTCTTATTGGTCTGTTTGCTTGTTTTGGTCTTTGCTTTTCACATTAGATGCCTTTAAGACTAGGGCCCTAAAAATCTGCTTGAAAACTCCCTGGATATCGGTCAGCCTTGCTGACTGAGGCTTCCTCTGCAAGGTGATTCTCTCTCTCTCTTGGACCCTGGATGGTCAGTATTCCTGAGTCGTAGTCTCTTGGACAAAGCAGAGTCCACAGAGAAGACTCTAGTCTCTTGCTAGTGGTCCTGTTTCCAGCTCTTTGCCATCATGGTTGGGGGGTGGGAACAGTATATAAACTTCACTTGATCTCCGTTTGTCATTATGGTACCTCAGCCCTCGGCTATGTGTAGTGCATCCCAGAGCATAGACCCTCTGCTTTAACATACCAGAGGGTAGACCTCCAGCCGGCAGCCAGGGCCAGGGAAGGGAGAGGATCTGGGGGCTAGCTACTTTTTTAAACAGGCTTTCAACCACACTTACTGTTTTTAGAGCCGTCTTCATTCTTGCCTCTGAGCTTTCGGCATTGCTGCAGCGTAAATCGAATTGCTCTCGGCTTCACCAGCTTAAGCTTCAGGCTTGTTAGGTCTGCTGTATCAGTTATGGCTCATCTCTTTGTCTTCTAGGTTTCAAAGATTTTTGTTGCTGTTGTCTTTTCTCTTGCTCCTATATATATATTTTTTGGTCATTTTATCCATTTTTTAAGTGTACAATTTACTGGCATTAATTGCATTCACAGTGTTGTACAACTATCACCACTATCTATTTTCAAAACTTTTTCACCACTCCAAACAGAAACTCAGTACCCATTAAACAACAGCTCCCCATTCTCCTCTCCCCTCAGCCCTGGAACATTTATTCTATTTTCTGTCTCTCAGAATTTGCTATTCTAGACATTTCATATATGGAATCACACAGTAGTTGTCCTTTTGTGTCTGGCTTATTTCACTTAGCATCGTGTTTTCAAGGGTCATCTGTGTATCAATGTTTTGTTCATTTTTATGACTGAATAATATTCCATTGTCTGGATAGTCCACATTTTGTTTATCCATTCATGTGTTGATGGACACTTGAGCGTTGTCTCCACTTTCTGGTTATTGTGAATAACGCTGCTGTGAACGTTTGTGTACAAATATGTGTGTGTGTGTTTTAAATATAAATTTATTTATTTATTTATTTTGGCTGCATTGGGTCTTCGTTGCTGGGTGCAGGCTTTTTCTAGTTGCAGCGAGCGGGGGCTGTTCTTCCTTGCGGTGCGTGGGCTTCTCATTGCAGTAGCTTCTCTTGTTGCAGAGCATGGGCTCTAGGCTGTGGGCTTCAGTAGTTGTGGCACGTGGGCTCAGTAGTTGTGGCACGTGGGCTCAGTAGTTGTGGCTCATGGGCTCTAGAGCACAGGCTCAGTAGTTGTGGTGCACGGGTTTAGTTGTTCCGCGGCATGTGGGATCTTCCCAGACCAAGGCTCGAATCCGTGTCCCCTGCATTGGCAGGCGGATTCTTAACCACTGCGCCACCAGGGAAGTCCCCAAATATGTGTTTAAATCCCTGTTTTCAGTTGTTTTGGGTGCCTACCTAAGAGTGGAAATGCTGTGTCATATGGTAATTCTAGTTTGACTTTTTGAGGAACTGCCAAACTATTTTCTACAGCGGCTGCACCATTTTACATTCCCACCAGCAACGTATTAGGGTTCTAATTTCTCCACATCCTCACCAAAACTTTTCTGTTTATTATAGCCATCCTAGTAGATGTGAAGTAGGATCTCATTGTGATTTTGATTTGCATTTCCTTAATGACTAATGATGTGGAGCATCTTTTCATGTGCTTAGGGGAAGGAGCCATTTGTGCATCTTCTTTGGAGGAATGTCTATTCAAGTCTTTTGACTGTTTATTTACTGGGTTGTTTGTCTTTTTGTTGTTGAGTTGTAGGAGTTCATTATATATTCTGGATGTTAAATGCTTAAGAGATAATGATTTGCAAATATTTTCTCCCATTCCCTGAGTTGCCTTTTTACTTTGTTGAGAGTGTCCTTTGATGCACAGAAGTTTTCATTTTGATGAAGTCTAATTTGCCTATTTTTTCTTTTGTTACCTACACTTTCGGTATCGCAATTAAGAAACCATTGCCAAATCCAGAGTCACAAAGAGTTGCCCCTGTGTTTTTTTTCTAAGATCCTGTTTGGTTTTTCTTTTAAAAAATTGCTTTACTGCCAGTTTAGTGTGGAACAGAGCTAGAATGCATGTGTTCACTCCTTCTTTAACTAGAATCCCCTCTAGTCCTTCAAGATGTCAGTATCTCAAAGGTTTATAATGAGCATGTCATATTTCGAAATGAAAATATGAACATTAAACAAATACAACAGTTTTTCAGAGCCTAGTTAGAGGTTTCATTGGTTTGTTTTTTAACCTGGGTACCTTTTCCTTTCTCGGCGCCAGAGAATTTCCGCTGCCTGTGCACCCATGAGAAGGGCTTTGGCTTCAAGGGCAGCAGCTTCCACCGCATCATCCCCCAGTTCATGTGCCAGGGCGGCGATTTCACCAACCACAATGGCACTGGGGGCAAGTCCATCTACGGGAAGAAGTTTGACGATGAAAACTTTATTCTCAAACACACGGGAACAGGTGGGACCCAATCAGTGGCTGGTGATCAGTGGGCTGGGCTGGGGCAGGATAACTGTGTGGGGGGAGTGATGGGCTGTGGTTCTGGCTGACAGGTTGGGGGTCTGGAGGGGACCCACCCAGTGAACAGAGGAGAGGCGTTCGGCCTGGCTAAGCAGAGTGAGCTTGTTTCCATTCATGTACTGCCCGTTCCCCCACCATGTCCGCACTCCCTGTCGGCCTAGCTTACATTCTGTGGTCGGCCAGTGTAAGCCCTTGTCTTCCCTCAGCCCCACTACCCGCCTTGCTCTGTCAGACTCATCCAGTAAAAAATTTCAGTGCTTGGTCCCCCAGCAACTAGAAAAAACACAGAACTGTACTGAAATTTATGACCGAAGCTCCACAGGAGGCCCTCGGCAGCCGTACTAGATAGAGCTCCCTAGTTAACACTCAGTCCTGGTCAGAGATAACAATTCCATCCCTTCCTTCATTCCCAAAGCCTCCATGTCACCCTCTGCCTCAGCTGATGCTTGGCCTCCTGCATCTGTCCACACATGCCCGCTCTGACTTCCCTCCAAGTACAGGGGCTGAGCTGTCTTCCCTCTGCTCGTGGCCTGGACCCCTACTCCTCTCCCCTACTTCGGAACCTGGCTTCTGTGGATGTGCCCCTGCAGCCTTGTGTAATGCATTTCCCCTTCTCTGCTAGATCAGTCCTTTAGCACAAAAGTGCGCAGTGTCAATCTTTCAAAAAAATCTTTGATTCATGTACCCCCTCAGCTATCACCCATGCCTCTGGTCCCCATTGTAAGCAAAACTTCTTGAAAAAGTTATGTAGACTCCCTGCCTTCCATTCTCTCTGTCCCCGCTAGACAGACTTCTAGTGCCACCTGTCCACTGAAACCACTCTTCTCAAAGATGCTGGCAGCCTCCATCTTGCCAGTAGTCAGTTCCAGGTCCTCATTGCATTCCCCCCCCCCAGCAGCATTTACGCTCCTCCCTCTACTACCAGACGTCCTGAGGGCCGGGAGCAGGGTGGAGGGGGTCGATGTGGTCGTTCTCTCCCCCAGGCCTGCTCTCCATGGCCAACTCTGGCCCAAACACCAATGGTTCCCAGTTCTTCCTGACATGTGACAAGACGGATTGGCTGGATGGCAAGCACGTGGTATTTGGGGAGATCACGGAAGGCCTGGATGTCTTGCGGCAGATTGAGGTGGGCGGCCGCCCAGGCCCCTGGTGCACAGCCGTGTGGGAGGGCAGGAGCGGGGGCTCCGGGGCCTGGAGAGAGAGGCCACGGCTGCTGCTGCTGGGGGTGGGGGGGCAGGGGGCGGGGTGGGTATCCTGAGCTGCCCTTTCCTCTCCACCCTCCCTCCCTCCCTCCCCTGATTCTTCCTCTTCTGTTTTGCCTGCAAAGGCCCAGGGCAGCAAGGACGGGAAACCCAAGCAGAAGGTCATCATCTCCGACTGTGGGGAGTACATGTGAGAGGGCAGCTGTCAGCCCAGGGAACCGGCAGCCAAGGTGTCCCGTTTGCGGCAAGCAGGGCTTTGTGTCCTGGCCCTTCCTTGGGGTCAGCGTGGGGCAGCTCCTCTGCAGGCACGGCCTGGGCCGCCTCTGGCTCTTCCCCAAGTGGGGCCGTGGGCCAGGGTGCTGCCCTCCCCACCGTGGATGGCTGTGCGTGCCCTTTCCAGGCCAGGGCCTCTCCTGGGCCCACCTCTGTGGATCCTAGACGTTTTCTTTGGGTAAAATAAATTCTATTTTTTGTACTGCTGCCTCCAGCTGGTTCCTGGGAGTTGTCAGAGGTTGCATCTAAAGCTAAACTGCCCCCCAAGACAGGTTGGTGAAGGAATAGGAAATAGCATCTTCCCCACAGCTTTTCTTTCTTCCCTCGGGCAATTCCCTGAGATGTCGGGTGATACATCTTCAAGCCAGATACCCTTGTCAGACCATTGTCAAGACCATGGGAATCAAAGACAGTGGAAAAGTTACTATCTACAGTGCCTCCACTCCCAAATCATGCTGCCAGTCTCGTAGCCAGTGGGTGTACTGCTCAGTCTCCGTGATTCATTTGCTCATTTGCTTTCATTCTACAGTTTTTTTAAATGATATTTTATTACTCAAAATGCCTTCTCCATGCCAGGTACTGTACCTATTTGTCAGGAGACAAGAGGTCAGCAAACCCGTTGGGTCTAATCCAGCCCACTGCCTGTTTTTGTGAATAAAGTTTTATTGGAACACAGCCACACCCATTTGTTTACATATTGTTTGTGGCTGCTTGCTCACTGCAGTGACAGAGTTGAGTAATTCGTGACAGATACTGTATGGTCCCTGTATTAGAGTTCCCAGAGAAACAGAACCAGTAGGGTGTGCGTATATGTTCATAGAGAAAGAGATTTATTTCACGGAATTGGCTCTGCAGTCGTGCGGGTTGAGAAGTCTGATAGCTGCAGGGCAGGCCAGCAGGCTGGAGCCCCAGGAAATAGTTGATATTGAAGCTTGAGTCCAAAGCCCGTCTGGAGGCAGAATTCCTCCTCAGGTGATCCCAGTCTTTCTGTCTTAAGGCCTTCAATTGATTGGATGAGGACCACCCCCGTTATGGGGGGGGGGTCATCTGCTTTACTCCAAGTCTACTGATGTAAATGTCAATCACATCTGAAAAATACCTTCACAGAAACATCCAGACTGGTGTTTTGGCTAAAAAGTTGATACCATGGCTTAGCTATAGACATGAAATTAACCAACGCCGTCCCAAAGCCTAAAATATTTACTATCTGAACCCTTGCAGAAAGTTTGCTGACCACTGATGAGACAAGTGGTCTCACCCATGCTGAGCTCACAGTCTGGTCTCTGTGTGCAGCCACTTCCTGGAGCTCAAGTCAGGCTGGCTTCTCTCTGCTCCCCCTCCATGGACTGGTCAGCCAGTGGCTTTAAAGGAACCCTGACCTGCTGAAGGCACTGAGCAGAGACTGAGCCCTGTAGCCACTAGATACCTCCCTGTGGGGTGGGGTTACTCAGACCATTCAGAGTCTACCCGGCTGGGCTTTTACATGTTGAGTAGAAATCTGGACAAGGCAGGAGTGTGGCCTGTTGTCCCCTGGCCCTGGTGACCCCAGGAGAGCTGTTGAGGGATGATGGCACTCTGGCTCTACCTCAGGCTCCCATGTGCCGAATGGACTCCTGGCCCTCAGCTGAGCCCCCTTTGCTGCAGCTGACCAGGTTTCTGTCTCCTCAGACCTCAGATGTACCACAGTTACTCCTGATCCTTATGGAGCTGCCAAAAGAGACCCCCCCACCTCAAGGCCCAGGCACCCCCTCTGAGTGTAGACTGTGGCCGTCACAGGTCAGTCTACCTGACTGCCCACAGCATTAGGGCAGGCTTTAGTGGAGCAGGGTGATGGCAGTGACTTCAGGGCTTTTATAAGAGCCAAGAAAGGATATGTATGAAGAGCTTAGTATAGCCAGCCCCCCAAGAGAGGACCGACTCCTGACAGCCTAGCGAGGTTGAGACCAGCCAGCAGGTTGGGAAGCTCAGTGGGTTTGGAGCTACAGTGGCCTTCCCAGTGCCCCTCTGGGTGTCCACAGGTGTTAACCCACTGTTTCCACACCAGAACCCTGTGCAGAGGTCAACCAAGGCTCAGGTGACATGACTGTTCAGGTCACCCAGGATGATGTGGCAGCGCTGGGGTCGGAAGCGTGGCCATCTCCCCATCAGCCATAATGGAGCCCTGGGGTGTTTCCTGAGCTCTAGCCTCAAGTCTACAGCAGGGCAACTGCAGGCCTGTGGGGAGACAGTCATGGTCTCCATGGTTGGTCTGAGCCCTACTCTGCCAGGCAGGACAGGGAGCCCAGAGTGTGGGGAGCAGTGGCCTAGCCACCTTGCTCAACCAGTCACAGCACAGCACTGACCCTCTGTTGCTCAGGAGGGCTCTGGCTTGTGGGAAGTGGACCTGGGGCGCTGTGGGGCCTTTGCTGCAGGCTGAAGGTCAAAGCTGCCTTCCTGGGACTGCCTGGCCTCCCCGTCCACGTTTCCATTGCTCTGTTAAGCCAGCACCAGGACTGAGAACACGGGGCTTGGCTTTGCTCATGCATCCCCTCACTAGCTCCTCCAGGGCCGGGCCCCATCTGTGGAGGCCCTGTGAGGGCTGCATGGAGGAACAGGCCCGGGGGTGTAGCCCTGGGACCAGTCCTGTGACTGCTGGACTTTCTCACAGTGTGTCTGCTCCAGATGCTGCCAGCACAAGAAAGAGGTTGTGGGACCTACTTTTTAGTGGTGAAAACTGAGTCTTATGGAGTTAGGTGATAGAAAACTAGACAGCCATATTTTCAAAAAATATTTATTAACAGGGAAAATTACACCATATAATAAAATGAAAAGCACATCTAAAGCAGTTTATATAATACAGTATGACCCCAATTTTGTACAAATACCTATCTGTAATATGTAAACATCTATATTTTATATGTATTCTAAGAAAAAAGCCTAGAAATAAATTCAAAATTTTTCTAGCATGTTTATCTGACTTAGAGGATTATAGTGATTTGAATTGTTTTATTTTTTGTTTTTCCCAAACTTTTCTCCAAAACTGCATTACTTTTGTAAAAAATGAAAAGCACATTTTTTTAAAAAGTGGGTCAAATGCTCACAAAAGGCCTCCTCGTAAGGAATAACACTTGGGATGGACAACCCCTGTTTAAACTGCCAAAAGGGCACCTGGTGGTGCTGAGTGCCCTCAGCAGGCCACTGGGATCCCCTTGTCTCTGGGAACACAGAGCACAATGTCACAGCCCTGGCCACTGCCTGCATAACTGGGCACTTGTCCCAGGCCTTTAAAGCAGGTGAGAACACAAGTCCTGCCCTCAAAGGATTGCGGTGGGAAAAGCACAGCTCTGAAATAAAACACCACAGGATACATTCTGGGAGGAGGAGAGGTTTAGTGGACAAGCACGGAAGGGGCTCAAAACTAGCAAATTCATTTGTAATAATACCAACAGGTACCAGTTAAGCATTTATGTGCCAGATGTTGTCCTAAATGTTTGTGTCCGTATATGACCTTTTTAAATAGCTTGGAAGGAAAGCCAGTATCGTGCTCTACAGAGGAAGAAGAACCAGGATTCAAATCCATTTGGCTCCAAAAATCTGTACTCTTGCCCTGCTGCCTCTTTTCCTATTTCTTAGGGATTTTTCCAGAACATGTTACTACCTATCTTAGTTTGAAGACAGTGAACCTCACATTATGATGACTTGGTCTTGAGGCCGGGATTGCACTGCAAACACCAAAACTGTTGTGCATTTCACCTTAGCCTTTTTTCCTATGTGTCCTCCCTGCCTATCAACTGTCACTGATTTCTTACTGCTGTCAGTGGGTCTGAATTGACCACCCTTATTTATTCTAGTCTGGCCAGGTAAACAAGCCAGGCCCTGAGCAAGGGTACTGCAGCTGCAATGCTTGGCTAAGCAAACAGATAACTCTTGGGATAACATACATGGGCTTCGTGTCCATTCACAACTGTTCCACTCCTCAGGGCTTTTCCTACTTCGTTTCATTTGGTAACTGGATGGCAAAAGTTGCTGGAAGTCTGACGGCCAGGTACATAAGCAATAACTTACTGTTTTTCAGTTGTTCTTCTTGAAAAAGGATTGTAACTCCACTCCTGCTGTGCACAGCTTGATTGGTAGATGAGGTGTACTCCACATCTACCAACCTTTGGATAATATGACAGACATTCTTGGCGTACCCGACCAAGCTAATCACTGGCTGGGCCTAAAAATACCAAATTAAAAAATTGTCGGGCCTTCCCTGGTGGGGCAGTGGTTGAGAGCCCGCCTGCCGATGCAGGGGACACGGGTTCGTGCCCCGGTCCGGGAAGATCCCACATGCCGCGGAGCGGATAGGCCCGTGAGCCATGGCCGCTGAGCTTGCGTGTCCGGAGCCTGTGCTCCACAACGGGAGAGGCCACAACAGTGAGAGGCCCGCGTACCGCCAAAAAAATATATATATATATTGTCAAAAAAAAAAATTAGTTGTCAATTCCATTTTAATGGTAGTCATTGATGAAACTACCATTAAGACTACCATTTTTCTCAGTAATTTGTAGCTGGTGAGCTAACATTTTGATTTTTCCACTTCCGCAATAAAAAAAATTTGAAATTTAGAAAATTACAAGTAAAAATTCTCAAGTGAAAAAAGTTAGTTCTCAAAATAATCTGCTAATTTAAGATTTATATTTACCTAAGAGACAATCTTCCATGTTGGGAAGAGAGAACTGTTAGGTAAGTACTAGAATAACAAACAGGTTCCATGTTACGTGCCAGCTCTGATTCGTGATGGCCACCTGAGCTCCGTGTTCAGGGTTACCAAGCTGCCTCTGGGCTCAGTGTGAGACAGGGTTGGCAGACAGATTCCCTGGCTGAAGGCCCTTTTCAGATCAAAAAGTCCATGCTTCATGTTACAGATGGGAAATAGGCCCAGAGGAGGAAGCCACCAAGTCATGTTCCCTAAC